AATTTACAAGTATGATTTCCCAAAAAACCACATTCTTTTATATGAAAGAAAATAAGGGTTTACACAATAAAAACTATCAAAATAAATGACCATTCTGAAACCAGAACTCAAGCAATTTACAGGCCATGTCCGTCTACATGACCTCGGCTAGAAGCAAGAACTCAACCAATTTTCCAGATTATTGGTCCATTGTACAAACCCACAACTCAAACCAGTATAAATCCTACAAACCCACATCTTTTCTTTGGTGGATTCTTGGTTTTCTTGGAAAATCCAAGAAAACGGTACTGTCTGAGAGAGAGAGAGAGAGATAAATAGAAAACCATACATTCGCCAACTGGGTTCTTCGTGCCGCTCTTGGATGGGGACCGATGGGGTCCAGTAGAAAATGAGGGGAAGATGTTAAAAAACCCTAACCTTTGTGGTGGTAAGGGTGAAATGGTAAAACCTAATAGCAATCCTCTCGGCTAGCCATGAATCCCAAAGTTTAGATGGGATAAGTTTGCCCAGATGAGAGGGGATAAGTTTGTCCAGATGAGAGGGGATTAAAGGCCTCAAAAACTACGGCCGTAGTTTTTCAAAAGCAACGAATATCCGGCCTCTCCTTGCATTGCCAAAACATGGATAAATGGGGTCCACACCTTATTTATCCAATCCAAGTTGGTGTATCGCCCTTTATCCAACCATTCAAACACACCTCATGTGTTGTGTGGGACAAAGTTTCTCACCAAACGGATAATATATCAATTTATTATATTGCCCCCATAACAGTGGATTCTGAGGTTAAAGCACTTTCTGTCTCTCTCTCTTGCCATGGCAGGATCTCTGTGTTTGATTTTCTTCATTGTTGAAACTTCCCAGCCATCAGTCATCCAAGCAAATCCATGCCCACCTCCTCAAATTTCACCTAGTCAAAAACCCAATTGTCACTGGCCCAGTTCTCAATTTGGGGGCACCTCCAAGAATCCCTTGTTCTTCTCTTACCCTCGCTGTGTTTCAAAGCCTCCAGTACAGAAATCTTCATGTACAATACAATGATCAAAGGATATATCAAAGAAAATAACGACTGAAGCATCTGGAGAAGCCGAAAATATGAAAGAATTCTCTCTCTCTCTCTCTGTCTCGCTCTTTCTGTCTGACATCTGGAGAAGGCGAAACATCTGGAAGATGAGCAATTTAATCAAATTAAAATCCAGTTTCTACCCTAGTGGTTCGGTTTATTTGCATCTTACCCCCCCTATGTTCAGAAATTAACACATAATTCTCTTATATTTTTGAACTTAATTGCTGTCGTTAGAAATTCTCTCTCAATTGAGATAATATAGCATGCAAGCACATCATTTGAAAGTTAGTGTGTGAAAATTTTTGGTCTAAGTCACTTTGAACGAAAGGGTTTGAGTCTTATTAAAAAATCACAATTGTTCTTTGATGTTGGGTCTCGTTACATTTTAAATTTTTAAGATGTTAAAAATTTTATGCTCATCCATTTGTTTCATTATATATGAACTCTAAAAAATTAAGATTTTAAGTAAACCAATATATTTTAAATTGACTTGATTTGTGCTATTAATTCAGGTAATAATATTAAAATAGCCTAAAATTCATGAAAAATAAATTGTATTTGGGTCATTGGAAAAATTTAATATGGTTCGGATTAATTTTACTATTTATTAAAAAAATAATAAGTTTTATTTTTAAACACACAATTTTGAATTTTATAGAAAGAAGCAAATAATGACTTAGGCATGAGTTGTATCAATTTGTATATTGTTTTTCTATTGAAAATTATTATTTTATTTTTGCATGATGCATATGATTTTTTTGATTAAAAGTGTATTTTACAAATTAAATTAAATAAATGAACAAAATATTTATTGCAATATTTTGTAAAAATGTGTTATTTATTGATTCATATTTTTGTTTCCTAAATAAGACAATACTAATGAATTGAACTTTTTTTCATTTCATTCCAAACATGGTATAAGATTGGATAACTTTTTTTTACACAATGGTGCAATAGTCATTTTAGTATGTTTTATCTTCACATATGAATGAGACCCACAAACCAAATGAAACCTATCTAAAGATGGGATATGATTTGAATCCGATCTATATAATTCTCTAATCCAGACCACTTTGCATTGGATTGGATTGAGTTTGGATTCAAATTCAATCCTTTCACGGTGATCCAAACATTAATGGGATAACTATATTACATGTCATGATGGAAAGAACATGAAAGGTGCTTTCATGTGATTTCCACCATCCCCAAATATCAACATAGTCTATTTGCTCGTGTAAGAAAATCTGTTGAATCAATCTCTAAATATTTATAGAGCTCAATACACGAAGAACTTACATTGGATCTTTGTTTTCCAATCCTCACAAGTATAGACCAAGATGGGTCTACTCCTTGTAGAAGTAGTTCTTGTATTGTTTATATGTTTAGATTGATATGAATTTGTACATGGAAGTTATTGAATTATTAATATCGTCTAAAATAATATGAAGTGGCATGTTTAAATTTTCAGAAATTCTATTTAGTAGCTCCTCTACACTAGCTAATTTTATTCTAGGATCTATTACCGGACCTAAACAAAAAATAAGTGGCATGTACATCCAGTATTTTTAAAATTTTTCTTCCATTATGGAACCAATGTCTACAAAAAATCTATTTTTTCTCTATGTATTCAAAGTATTAGAAATTGCACAATTGATTAAGAACAACACATGAAGTGGAATAATAAACACCTGAACAAATATCTGTAGCATTATAGAAAACTTTCAAAAATTCTAAGAAAGTAAAAGCCTACTCCCAATCATTGATGTGATATACATATCGTGATACTCCGCATTAATAAACTCTGTAATTATATGATGATAATCTATACAAGATTGTAACATATAAAATGTAAAGTTTCAACGAGTTTTAAGATCATCTTTAAACTTTCTAGACTTTAAATCATATGTTTTACGTTAATGAAAAAAATGGAGCATAAAAGAAGATGAAGCAATAAAAAGAATTGACTCCCTAATTTTTTCTATAAGCTGCTCAATTAATTTTAAGCTATCTTGGACAATCAAATTAATTATTACATGAAATAATTCACCACCCCAAGGAGGATGCAAATTATGGTTAACACATTTACGTCTATTGCAACATTATTAGTAGAATGATTGTCAAAAGCAATACTAAAAAATTTATCCACAACATTATCAGTAAAAGTAAAAAGTTGTTCTATTGAAGTTATGTATTTGGGCAACCCCTTCTCCCATTTTTCCTTGAGTATGAAAAAATTGACAAACTACTTCCCGTTTGATTAAGTTGGGTTTGTCTAGGGTCATTACCACCACCATGTTTTGCCAAGCATTTTCTATGGTTCCACACTACACGAGTACTAGTTGCACTAGGTTCGTTTGAAGGTTCACTTGAACCTTGGGCACATCATCAATTTCGTTAAATTCACCAAAATCTATATTCTTAAAGTCAAAATTTATAAGATCCATTTTTCAATTTAAAATTAGTAACTACAGTTAAAACACTCAATTAAATTTAAAAATATCTCGACCAAAGTTAAAGTAATTGAAGATGTAGATGAAAATTTATAATCAAAGATGTAGGTGTAAATTTCTAATTGAGGATGTTAATGTAGACTAGTAATCGAAGATGTTGATGTAGTTGTAAATTACAACTTCTACTTGTAGCCTTGTGAATGAAAATGTGTACACTAGTGTTGAGAGAAAGAGAGTTTGCAGAGAGAAAAAAAAATTACAAAGTTTTGTTACACGTGATAGGTTCCAAGACATGGATAATCTTGCCATTAATACAATGAATCTCATATTAGTATAAAAGTCATAAAAATAAAATTTTACTTCATTTTTCACAAGCCAAAAAAAATAAAAATTACTTAATTAGTTGTTTGTATAATTATTGATTTATATAAAAAAGAATATATAATTATCTGTATTTATACTTTCTAACGTAATATCACCGTTATAATGAATATTTTTTCGCAACGCAGAGTGAGGTGTAAATGTGCAGAAAATCACAAAACACTCTTCAATAACAACGCGAGTCATTTTAATTTTTAACCTTTTTATCTTTGGAAAATTTTCAATTACATCCCTTATAATTTATTATGTTTTCAAAGACATCTTCTTTATTTTCTGAATCTTCACTGGTACCCTATTAGAAACTTTCAACTAGAATATAATTTTATTAAATTGTCCATGATATTTTAGAAAAAATTTCATCCACAATCTATATGGATAGACATATCTTCAATGAGACCCTATCTTTTTTATGAATTTTTTACTTATTAAATTTTGGACCTATTAAAATTTGTTTTTAATCGGCTCGAATCAAATTTAATTAACTCACATTGAATTTTAATTGGCCTAAAAAATATAAATTTTAATTGATTCAAATTTTAATACATAAAAAATAAATTTTAATCAACTTGAATCGAATTTTAATTAAAACGAATTTTAATACATAAAAAATATAAATTTTAATCAATTCAAATCGAATTTTAATCGACTCTAACAGCTCAAGTTGAGTTCAAATCAGTTTGAATTTTAATAGGATAGAATTTTAATACTTAAAAAATAAAATAAAATTAGCTCGAATTGAATTTTAATCTACTCAACTTTTAATACGTAGAAAAATGAAGTTTAAACAATTCGAATTTTAATAAGTAAAAAAATAAATTTTAATTGACTCAATTTTATATAAATTTTTTAATGTTTAAATATAAATTAAAAAGATGTGTTAGTGATATTTTAGTTAATAAAAAAAAACATCTTACGGATATAGTAAATTAGAGGGAAACTGAAATTTTCCCTTCATTTTTTCCCAGGAGCAAAGCCGCGTCAAGTCAGGTGTAAACTTATCGTCCACCAAAGCGCATAAGGACCCGTCATCCTGCGCCTAGGCCAGTTTCATAGATGCAGAGGGTTCTGGTAACCCAGAAAATCTGAATCACCCAAGAGAAAGTGTGATGGGAAGCACAAGTGCTGTCATCTATAATCTACAGCTCAACAATACCCACTGCTTTAAATCTCTTAATTCAAACACAAATCATAGAACTTCTCTGCATATCCAGCAAGGAAGACCCAAGTTGGGTGTTTCATATAGGAGGGACTTCAAAAAGTTCAGCAGAGTGGTGTGTTTTGCTGTTGAAGATGTCACAGAAAAGCAACAGCAATTGGGTGGCGGCGGGATTAGTGGTGTTGGTTCAGCTCTTGAGGATAGGCCCGGTAAAATAAACCCGTTATGAATTTTGTTTCTTTTGAAGAAATAATTTATGGGTGTTTAATTTTTGGATAATTTTACGGAATTTCTTGATATGGGTGGTTTGTTTGTATAGATATCTGAAACGGGTTCTTTTAATTGATTGAAGGAATAGTATACTGTTCAAATTTAACTGTCTAAGTTATTTAGGCTTCTGTTTCTTTTTGGGTATATGCTTCGTGGTTTCCTTGTAATGATAGATTTAGTTTTGCTATTTTCAATTCTATGTTTGGTGATGTAGAGAAGCCTTTGCATTTGAAGACCCTTTTCGGGAAATTGGGAGCCCAAATGAGTTTGTTTCTTGACTCGTGTACTTTTGAGCTAGGATTTTGTGCTGTAAAGAATTTAGGAATATGAAAAATGAATATAATTTATTGTAAGATTTGTGAGGTTCCCTAATTTGGGACTGCTATGCAAATAGAATATTACTGAGGATGCAAATTACGACGACGATGAGATTGTTGGTTACCTTCCCAAATGCAAAAAGTTGATTTTCTGTCATATTTTAGAAAACTTGGCGCCATTACTCTAGTACTCTAGTGGTAATCATGACCTTAACCATCATATTTGTTGAGCAACTGTGAAATGATGTTGAGACGCCCTTATGTAACTTGAACTCTCTCAAAATGAACAATAAGAATTGAGCAATTGGCAATAATAGTTGAAAGGAATCCATCTCATCCTTTAATCACAGCATCCTACTGTCTCTTAACATTGCAAAGTTCTGTGTAGGACAAGATAAAAATAAGTATCATGGATTGCCTTGCCTGGATGTTTTAATGCCTGGCATAGGAGAATAGGTGTGAGAAAAGTTGGTACAATAATTCGAAGCCTCTAAATGAACCACTTGCCACATGGTCATATGACCACTGAAACACTTCAAGCTTCGGTTATAGGAGATTGTATCTGTTATTATCTACCATCATGTTCAATGTACACTTTTTGGCACAAATATGTCACCTTGGACAAGGTTCAAAGTATTGGCTGAGACGGATGCAACTCAACCGAGTCATATCCGTCTCAGCCATGACCGATCCGATATCGATACACGATACATAAATATCACGAGTCACTCATGACTCGACAGTGAATCGGTTACAACTCGGTAGTATCGGCTTGACTTGGACTCATATCACTTGAATTGGGCGAGTTACATCGGACTCGGACCGATACTGGTAGAAACTTGAGCAAAATCTCCAAAATCAAAATGACAAAGGAAAAAAAGAAATGGAGAAGAAGATCTGAGACTTAAAAGGGCATTTTTCAAACCCTAAGTCACAAAAAATACAAGCAAATTCACCCCTTTTTACAATTACAGAAATAGAAAAAAAAATTGAAAGAATTGTAAGGCATGCCTGTTAAAATAGAAGACATAGAAAGTCCTAGCATCATCACAAAAGCCCCCTCTTTCTTCTTCTTTTTCCTCTTCTTCTTCTTCTTCGTCATCATCGAAGAAGCCCTAGTATCGCAGATGAGTCAGAGACTCAGATCAGATCCCTCCCAGCGACCCTTCAGTGACCAGCGTTGACACCCAGATCTGATCCATCGTCTCTGTGCTCTCTCTCTCTCTCTCTCTCTCTCTCTTGATCTCGATCTCGATCGCATGTTTCCTGTTCGTCGTAAGTCTGAGTCTCAAACTCTGAGAGCTGAACAGAGTGTTTCTTTTTTGGGTCAAAATACTAGAGGCGCTTACTCCTGAGAATTATATTGAAGCGCATAATTGGTTGAAGATCACGGGGCGTTTCGAATAAAAGAAGAGGCCGTTTTTTGAGTATTTATAATTTTTTACATATTTTTTTTATTTGTTATAATTAATTGTTTGTTGGCCCCATCAGTCAATCATTCCTCTGGGAAGAACCAATCAAAGAATTTCATTATATCTCTTCTAAGTGTTCTATTTCGTCTGGTATTTTGTAGGGATATGGCCCAAGATTTATCTCCCCCCCCCCCCCTTTCTTTTTGTTTTTTCAGTTTTGGTCCAATTTTTTTAATTATATAATTTTGAGTATTTATCATATAATCTAATTAGAACTTAACCTCCTAAGTTTGCTTTTGTATATGTATTGATGATTTAATAATTAAATATACATAATTGAAAAAATACATATAATTTCTAATTAGATACATATTAAATAATTAAATGAAGAATTTCTTTATAAGTAGTTTTTCATTTTTAAAGCTATTAAGTTAACCATTTATATACACTTATATTTTTTTATAATTTTTAAAAATTAAAAATTAAATTATATTAACCTTGAACATAGATGATAATAAATATTTTTCGGTAGCATCCTTATTATTCTTTTTTGCAATAATTAATGTGTTAAATAATGTCTTTTAGGGATATAATGCATGGATGATGATGTTAACATTTATTACAATTTTTTCAAATTTTTTTGAGCATTCTATATAGTGTTTTGGGCATATTGGTCGATACCGTGCCGCGACCGATGTGTCTCAGTAGCCCCTGAGTCAAGGGCCGATACCGCGACCTTGAACCATGACCTTGGATGATCTCTTACAGAAATTGACATTTTATAGATATTTGAACAACACAAAACAAAATGAAATTATTCAATATATCTTGATAACACTAATTACAATGGAAATAGAACAATCTGTAGAAAGTGGGTGGCATTCTATAGAAGTTAGCAACTATAAAATGTACAAAATCTGAAGATCTGATTAACTCTGCATTGCAAGAGCCGTCTGACAATATCACAAACAGACAAGCCACTATTTAATTGATTAGAATACCAAATTTCACTTTTTTGTTTCAATTTTTCCCATAGATCCTATGGCCAATCCATGCAATGAGATAGCTTTGCACTTTTCTCTATGGAAGGTAGTGGTTACATCATATATGCTCTACAAAATGCTCCCTCAGTGAACTAAAACTGTTAAATGAAGAGATTGGTTTTATAAAGAGAAGTAACAAGGAAAACTCTTACAAAAAGGATCTCAAAAATGCTCCCTTAAAAAATGGATGGCTGTTAGTGAACTCCAGTCTATAGATGCACGAATTGACCTACAATCACGGTCCTGTAAAAACATCAGTATATCCATGCTTATATCATGGTTTTAGGAGATCATCTTAGTATTATGGGCAAATAAACAAGTGAGGATACTACATGCTTATCAACCACAATACTGTCAATGGCCGTAGCCTGTATTGGTTCTTGAACCATGCGGACATGGCCGGTATCTGAAAATCATTTTATATTATAGAAAAATTGGGTGAGAAGATCCATTAAGTGGAAAGCCTTAATCAGATGTTTTTGGTAATAACAAGTCAGTCTGAAGGCTGTTTTTGTTTCTGTCATGGGAGACACCAACCATCTCTCCTTTATATGAACATCATCTACATTTAATTATTCTCATTGCAATAATTTAGGTAAGACCAAGATCTAAGATTAAACTCTTTGATTTGAGAGTGCAACATTCTTAAAATTTTATCCCATTGTTGGAGGTAAAATATAGTATTTGATTCAGTGGAACTTTCCAAAAGTCAACACTATACCCATGAATTCTTGTCTTACTCATCTGTGCCTTGTGTTCACAGCTTGATTCGCATTCTAATGATTTTCTTGTATGTTATAGTTTTTTTAGGGTTTAGGCATCTTGTATCTTTAAATGCATTGTTTCCCTTGTGGCAAAAAATAATTCAGTATAGTTGTTTTGCCATTTCCTCCAATAGCTAGTTTTGATTCTTGTGTCCTTTTGTTTTTAGGGAAAAGAATAATATTAGATGTTTTTGAACTCAGATTCTATATCTTGATTTTGATTGAGATTATAGGGGTGGTTGATGGTGTAAGTGAAGATACATTTCAGAATGATGACCCAGAAAATGGCGGAAGTGCTCTTTATAATATCCTTTATCCTAATAAAGAGCTCCTTCCGGATGATAAAGAAATGAGTATCTTTGATCATTTAGAGGAGCTGCGTCAGAGACTCTTTGTGTCAGTTTTGGCAGTTGGTGCTGCTATTTTGGGATGCTTTGCTTATTCAAAGGAACTTATAATGATTCTTGAAGCTCCTGTCAGAACGCAGGGGGTTCGATTTCTTCAATTAGCCCCTGGCGAGTTTTTCTTCACAACTTTAAAGGTTAGAATAAATTCTGTATTCTGTCTTCAGTATTATACGTCTGCTCATAGAGATCATACATTCCTTTTATAATGATTTTAGTGTTATTCAATTTTGAATAATCCATTTACAAGAGGAAGGGAAAGAATTTTGCTTCTGTCTGCACCTGCAGCTGCTAGATTGTAATGCATCACATTTTTCCATTTACAAGAGGAAGGGAAAGAATTTTGCTTCTGTCTGCACCTGCAGCTGCTACATTGTAATGCATCACATTTTGTATTGAGAGAGAAGTCCTTTCTCCTTTTTGTTCTTCTGGTCATAGATAGGCCTGTCAACGGATCGGATGTGAATCGGATCTAGGTCCATCCCGAATCCGATTAAAAATTCGTTACTGAATCCGATCCGTTTACCTGAAGTATAGAAAAATATTATTTCATGTCCGAGTTCGCTTATAATCGGACATTTGATCTTTTTTTTTAAGATCAAATACAAATAATCAGTATACATATGTGTGTATGTTATATATAACATATGTATATATTAATCGGATCGGATTTTTATATATTCATATCCATATCCGATTTAAGATATGTAAACGGATTCGGATCAAATTTGAATATATTGATGAAAATATTGATCCATATTATGTTAACGGATTCAGATCATATTTGGACTAAAATTTGGTCCATTGACAGGCCTAGTCACGCATTACAAATTCGATATCCATTATTCTTCTCATGGAACAAACTTCTTCAGGAACATGAAAAAGTTTACTACATATGAATCATCTAGTGCCATCAAAAAACATATTGGTTACATTTTGAAGTTGCATAGTAAGACAAAAATGAACCAACAATAGTCATAAATCTTCATTAATCTACTCTTTTGATTTGTTTTCAAAGGATCACGCCAAGGAAGTTTAATATTTGACTGAAAGGTTCCATTGACTTTTCTATTTTGCCTACTTCCTAATTCCTACCCTTCATTGACAAAAATCTTCATTCCTAGTTTTTATAATAGCTAAATTTAATAAGACTTGGAATATCTGTGAGTGAAAAAGGATACTCAAAGTAAGAGTAAAGTCCTGTATATATAGCTAAATAATAATACAAAGTGACCTAAACATCCTTGTGGTCTAGACAAAGTAAAAAAGGGTAAAAAAAGGGAAAAGAAACCCTAATAAACTAGATTATACTCCAACACTCCCTCTCAAGTTAGGCGCAAAAATATCTTCTAAGGTAAGCTTGACAATGGAGTTGTTGAGAATGGATAGAGCGACAGTTTTAGTGAAAACATCCGTAACCTGATCACTGTCCCCACAAATAATGGCGTGACAATATTACAACTAACCTTCTCTCGAAGAAAGTGAACATCGATCTCTATATACTTCATCCTATCGTGTAGTACAGAGGCAGAAGCGAGCTGAATAGTAGATCGATTATCACAATATAATGTAGATGAAGAAGTTACTGAAAATTTCAACTCGCCAAGAATCGATCGTAGCCAGATAATCTCACATATGTCAAGTGCTAGTGTTCGATACTCTGCCTATACTAACGAGTGAGAGACAACTAACTGTTTCTTGCTCTTCCAAGAGATAAGATGAGCCCCTCGAAAAGTACAAAATCCTGTAGTAGATCGACCGTCACATGCTCTCCCATAATTTGAATTTGAATAACAGATTAGAGACCCAGTCTGAGATCCTGATACATAGAACAACTCAAGTTCAGGACAAGATTTGAGGTACCGAAGAATATGATAAATTACATCAAGATGAAGCCGACACGGCTTGTGAATGTCAGTTCATGACATGAACTGACTAACTCGGTTGACAACGAATGAAATGTTTGGCCTAATGTTGGCTAAGTAGATAAGTCTACCTACCAAGCTCTAATAGACAGTTGGATCTCTTAACTCTTTACTTTCAGTAGTAAGCTTTAGGTTTGGAATCATGGGTGATGATGTTGGTTTGTACCCAGCATCCCAGTGTCCAAGAGAAATCCAGAACATACTTTCTCTACGAAAGAACAATACCCCTACTACTATGGGCAACCTCAATCTCAAGAAAGTATCTTAGAAATTCAATGTCCTTCACATTGAAGGCCTTCCCAAGGTTTATCTTGACTTGTGCAATTCCAGAAACATCATCCCAGTAATTATAATATTATCTACATATACCAAAAGGATGACACACTATCTTGAAGTATTTTGTCGAATAAAACATGTATGATCAAAATGACATCTGGTGAGCCCTAAATGTACAACTATACCATTAAACCGAGAGAATCAGGCTCGTGGTGACTGTTTCAGTCCATAAAGAGACTTAAACAGTCGACACATCTTCTTAATATAATTCTCCTCACCATGAAAGCCTGGTGGTGCATCCATATAAATAATCTCATCCAGATCACCAAAAAATAACGCATTTTTCAAATCTAACTGATGAAGAGTCCAAGAGTACTACTCAACCAAGGGCCAAGAATACTCTGTAGCTAAAGAAATAATCAACCGAATAATAGTCAATTTTGTCACAGAGTCAAAGGTAGCACAAAAATCATGATCTGGTATTTGAGTAAAGCCCTTCGCCACAAGCTTAGCTTTGTGACGATTAATAGTATTATCTGCAAGAAACTTCAGGGTGTAAACTCAACGACAGCCAACAGGCTTCACCCTTGAAGATAAAGAGATAAGATTCCACGTATGATTACGCTGAAGAGTGTCCATCTCCGTTTGCATGGCAAGAACCCATGGAGGCTCCCGCATAGCTTCTGAAATAGAGCGAAGAACTGACATATCTGATAAGGCTATATTATTAGCTCAAAATGTAGGAGACAGATCATCATAAGAAACATCAGTAGATATCGGATATAAATTTCTGGCGGTCCAACCATAACGAACAATTGGATGCCGATCACGCCACGAATGACGACGCCCTAAATCATCAACCACCACTGCCCAGTCACCTTCCCACTGTCTGCAGCGACAGCCCAACTAGCCCCAACCACTGCCCAACCATAGCCATTAGTCATCCACATATACCAGTCAGCCCAACAACACTGCACCGACAACTAACAACCACCACTGCCTAGTCACTTTCCCACTGCTTGCAGCGACAGCCCAACCAGTCCTAGCCACTGCCCAACTATAGTCGCTAGTCATCCACTCCGGTCAACCCAACAGCAAGCCAGCAACTCCCAACCCAGCCAACCCAAGTAGCACCGTCAACAGCCCAACGAAACACCCATAGACAACCAAAAAACCCCGACAACCCGACAGCCTTCCAGTGACAACTCTAGCAAAACCAGCCAGTCAAACTAGCCACATCCAACCCAGTGACCCAAACCCATCAAGCAGAGCCTACCTAGCATCTTCGTCACAGTGTCACCCTCTCTTTGCGCCACTAATATTTTTTTTCTAGGGTTGCAGCATCTAGGACCTTTTTAAGAGGGGTCGATCCTCTTCTCCGTTGATCTTCTTTTGATGTAATAAATCACTTATATATTCACTAGATTTTGGGTACCCTGATCTGATTATTTGGGAGCTTTCTGGACCTTTTTTATCTCTCGTTACTTTTCGATTTGAGGTATATTGTTATCCCTTATTTTATCCCTCTACTTATCTTAGAGTATTTTTTGTCACAGGTGCCCACGTATTATTGTTGATATGACTACTATTGAGGGACTTGAGACTCTTACTGTTGAGACCTCTACTGTTGAGTCCTCTGCTGTTAGTACTTCCACCTATAATGTACCGCATGGTTCTCCCACTTTTATGTTTGACCATTATATTGTACCTATTGGCGCGGTTGCATTACCGGCAATGCCGGGTATAATCTCTCAGAAGGTTACGACACAGTTGTTGATTGGTCGTAACTTTGCTGAGTGGTCACGCTCATTACAACTTTTCTTAGGCTGTGTAAGAAAGTTTGGTTGGTGACAGAATCTCACCCAAAGTCGACTCTAAATATTTTGCATGGTTTTCTAAGAACTGTGCTATTCTTGGATGAGTTGTTAGGTTTGCTGGTAGGATTATGGTAGAGGCTAGGGTTAGGATTATGGTGGAGGCTAGGGTTAGGGTTAGGGTTAGGGTTAGGGTTAGGGTATGATTTTGATACTAACTTGGAATATTTGCGAGTGAAAAGAGATACTCAAACTAAGAGTAGAGTCTCGTATATATAGCCAAATAATATTACTAAATTGACCTAAACATCCTTGTGGTTTAACCAAAATATAAAAGTCATTGTAAGGATAAAAAGGAAAAAAGAAACCCTAATAAATTAGATTATACTCCAACAATAAAGTTATCAAATATTACCAACAGAAATGAGAGTTAGGTTATTGCACTAGATTATTGTGTGTATATTTAACATATATGGTGTTAAAACTGTATGCAGTATGTTTTTGTCCAAAAAAATCTACCCCGTGGAGATAATGTAACTTTTATGCTTATTAGTTATGTACCCTTAAGTAGAAATTATTACTGAAACACTTAGTGAAGTGAATGTTTTTTATACTCACATTTGAATCAAGGATCAAAATTTTGTTTCGGTGTATTATTTCGGTCATCTAGAAAATGAAAACATTTTGACGTGTTTCAGAAACGTTTCGACCTGTTTTGGAAACATAATGAAAAAAATAAAAAATTTAAAAATTATTTTTCTAAAACATTGATCGAAATATATCAAAATAACATGAAACATTCCAAAACAATTGTGCAAATGTATTGAAATATTATAAAACATATCAAAACATTATGGAATATATCGAAATATTAGAATTTCGATTTTATCACTGATTCGTTTCAGTATCCTTCGAAACGGAAACGTTTCGGACGTTTTGACCATTTCGAAACGATATTTTGATCCTTGATTTAATTATAGTCCATATTTTGGTGCTATAAGCAATGAGTTACAATTGGTTATTTTCATTCCCCTATAAACAAATATTGATCTAAATCGTGGTGGTTTGATTGTACATTTTAATTCCTTCTTAAATCTTAATCTTCTTCTTTGTAACCCTGCCATTAGGTCATATGCCCTGTCTAGCTTGCCAACTGTTTTATGCTAGAATCTTTGTGAAGCGCCTGCTGTCCATTCTTAGTAAATACATTGGCTGAAAAAGAAATAATCATGGAACTTGAGCTAATATAGAAGAGCAATTTTAGAGTAGTCTGTACTTCTATTTTGATTTTATTATGGATACCTAGGAAATAATAAAATTTATGATGGTTTTCATATGTTGAGTTTATGTTCCTAGGTCATACTTTCCTACCATGATTGGACAATGGAATTGCATTATTTAGAATCATTCTCAATTTATTCACCTGCTTTGTGTGAGAAACAATGGCACAACATCCCCATATTTGAGCACATACTCTAGGCACAGTTCTATTAAACTTGAGATTTAGGGAAATTAATGTAACCAGCCTGGAATTCTGGAATTTGGTGTTCACTATTTTGATATTGTTCTTCAAGATATGTTCCAACCTGGAGCACCTAACTTCTTTCGGTACTTAGATGAACCAAGCTGCTGCATATACTAAAACAATGGTTTTATTCCTGACGCAGGTATCAGGATATTGTGGCCTTCTTTTGGGGAGCCCTGTGATTCTCTATGAGATCATTGCCTTTGTTCTTCCAGGTTTAACAAGGGCAGAGAGAAGATTCCTGGGGCCAATTGTCTTTGGATCCTCGATACTTTTTTATGCTGGCATCACCTTCTCATACTTGGTCCTTACTCCAGCTGCCTTGAATTTCTTCGTTAGTTATGCGGAAGGGGTGGTGGAATCATTATGGTCCATTGATCAATACTTTGAGTTTGTCCTTGTTCTCATGTTTAGCACAGGATTGTCTTTCCAGGTACTTTTGCGTCTTTGGAGCATATTATTCATGTCCAGATGGGAAATAGTTACGTACTTAAGAGGCAGCTACATTTGTTGTGGTCATGTGTTTTGATATCTGAAGCTTAGTTTCGCATTTCATGTGTGCTCTAATGTTGTTTGTGGTAGTTTAAAATATCTCCCTTCACAAACCCCCCCCCCCCCCCCCCCCCCCTTTTCTCTCTTCTTTTTTTTCCTCCTTGTCTTATTTTTATTCTCCTGGGTAAAGTGGCTTCTAAAACCAATATTTGATTATGAGGAGTGCCCTCATTCTTTTTATCACACACACACACATATATAGAGAGAGGGAGAGGCTTGAAGAAAATAGAGGTATTTAAAGATGGATTTGATTTAATGAACAGGTTTTTCCATTCAAATGCTGAGATATCAAATTTTGGTTCAAAATGTTGTGTCTTTACAATGCATCAATCAAATCTTAACAAACCTATTGGTTCTTTTCTTCTACAGGTTCCAGTTATACAACTCCTGTTGGGACAAGTTGGATTAGTATCTGGAGATCAAATGCTCTCAATTTGGAGATATGTTGTGATTGGTGCTGTGGTTGCAGCTGCTGTACTCACACCATCTACCGACCCTCTTACTCAGATACTTCTGGCAGGCCCTCTTCTGGGTCTCTACCTAGGCGGTGCATGGATGGTAAAGCTCATTGGGCGATGATTGGTTTTATGCAATGTCAGAGTGTGGGATCTGCTCTCATTGTCCGCTGAATCCAAAGTTTTAAACCTTGCTATATTCTTTTGGATTGCCAAATGTATGTATCACAGAAATGACGAAAAAGTCGAGTAGCATTAGATATCTTTATTCAAATCTGAGTGCGGTTTGTACTTGTTCTTGTAACAGATTTCCTGTATTATTAGTACATAATGAGAACATCAGATTTATTTTCATAAATTTTGTCTGTGGTTTGGATTGAACCTGTGCATGAGTGCCTTCACCACCATGTTGATATGGCTTCTTGAAAAGTGTATAGTACTTCGTGTTTCAATATTTTTTTGGTTCTTGTTCTTTCTTCTGTCTGATTGTGGGGATGCTTGGGGGAGTCCTGTTGATTGGTAGTTGTATTGTATTCTGTTCCTGTCGAAAAATCAACTGAAAATACACTACAAAACATAAAAAGCCTAGACTTATTTCTATATTGGGTGAATGACACTTTGTATCCTTAAGATTTTTAAAATTCTCATTTTATTCCAGATAAAATATTCACATTGTACCATCAATTAAATAAAAATATGATAATGTGATCTAAAATTACATATCCGTTGCGTTTTACGACAAATTTATTCCCTACATTGGTTATATTATTATATTTCTATACATAATTGTTTCCATGATACTTAAGTTTAAGTATTTTATATGAAATAGTTGTAATCAATTTTATAAAAACTGAAGCACATTATTACCTTTTTATTTGATTGAGAGAGAGGAATTTCAATCTTTCAAAGTGTTAATTAAAAATTTGAAAATCTGTTGTGGTGCAAAATATTATTTACCCTTATATATTTGGCTCAATAAGATTTTCCGAGATAATTTTATGAGTAAAGATAGCATAGCAACTTTAAGGGACAACTCAAATGATAATAACGACGGATTTTAAATCCAAATATTTTAAATTCGAATCTTATAAATCCTTTGGGCTTTGGCCATGAGAAATTTATCCCTCATGAATACCCTAATCCCGACTTAAATAATCTACCTTTAACTGAACCAGAGATGGGCGTACAAGCTGACTCGGACACCCTAACAAAAAAAAAAAAAAACACTGCACAAATCTTCCGTTCCTACGTGATCTAGAGAGAGGGTTATATTTACACAGAGAGACTGTTTCAGAATGCTATTTTATTCATTTGGGCTCAAAGCAAGAAAAATATATATTACCAAAACTCTTAAGGTCAAACTACAGCAACATTCGATCACAGTGCAGAATTTACAGATAAGACTCTCTCTCTAACTGCTCAACAAAAGTTTCTCCATTTGGGGCACTAGATCAGTAGCACTGGAGCAAACTAGTTCAGATTCCAGTTGTCTCAACCAATTCCTTAAATCAGTGCATGCTTTGAGGAAAGCTTCTGAAGAGCCTTTATGATTTTCCAACTCCACTTGCATTTCATCAAGAATGCTGGACATTTTTTCTGAAGCAGCTTTCATAGCAGGAACTTCTTGTGGAGGGTAAAGACAAGCCCCAAGCTCATCAATCTGTTGGCCAATTCCTTGACAGAGCTTCAACAGTCCCTCCAAAGAGTTCACAAAATCACTGCTGTTATCAGAATTCTCCTGCTTAAGCAATCCTGTGATGGAACGGATAAGTTCCTTTATGACTGCAACTGTTCCAGACACAACATTAATAGCAACTTGAGCAATTTTAATCTCTTCGGGTGACAGGTCATTGCCCAAATCTCCTCCACATGAATCATCACTTTCATGGGGTTCACCTTCAGGTTGTATAGAGGTCTCATCCAAAGCTTCATCTACTGGGTCAGATGAAGCTGGCTTAAGCTCCTCCATCTCCCGGAGAACATCCTTCATGGAAACTGCAACTTGCGTCATTGCTCGCCCGATTGCAGTGATATTGGTAGCAGGAGTCTTCTTAAGGGCACTACAAGCATCCCAGACTGTACCTACCAACTGCGGGATTGAGAGTTTCTGGTCTTTACTGCGAGATCCTGCACATTGATTCAGAAGAAATCAAGAAATAACTTGCTTGCTTTGACCGGAAGAAATTTCAAGAAATGTAATAAATTCACTGAAACTGCATCAATATATACTAAGAAAACATACCATTCATATTTAACTAGTTGAAATGAACAATCAAGATGAATGAACTATGCATAACTCGTGGACATGTTGTAAAATGAGTATACAGAAAATAATCTTGTGGAAAGAAAAACAGGTAAGTATCAGTTTGTTTTATGCCTCGAGGAGTTATTGGAACTTGGTAGGCACTTCATCTATTTGTCAGATGACATTCCTGTAACGCAACAAAGCCTAATATCAAGCCCGATTGGACACAGTTATCCCCTTCTTGCAAGAGGGTTGCTGCTCTACCGAGCCAGATAGTGTTAAATGGCATAGTATGATTAAAATCTTTAATTTGCAGTCACATCCAGGAATCAAACAGAATTACTAGAAGAGAACATGGTGGTAGAATCCATATTTTTGCCTCTTCCTATGCGCAAAACCATAATGAAAGTGCAATTTCATACGTAAAACTTTTCTCAACTCTATATACCCTAGCGTTAAAAGGTTTAAAGGGCAGCTCTTTGAGAAACGTTTCAAGGGAATACAGAGTGGTTCAGCAATTGAAGTCATTGTTTTCCATTTATTTCCAGTGTAGTATACTCACACTGTAAAACATGATAGACCGAGGATGAAGTCCTCGCAGTTTTTGCTTATCCTTGATGTATTCTGTTTTAAGGGAACTTTTCTCGCATGAAGAAAAAATGGGATATAAGGGAAAAATGAGACATTCTGTGTGTGTGGAGCACAGAAACTGATGTATGGAACACATGCAAGCTCCTTAAATCCCAACAGATGTAAAAATTACTACACCTCGTAACTATCATCATATTCTCCTCCAAAAGACATCCAACTGTAATCTTTAACCAGTGTTTAATACATTGAATCATTGTTACAGTTGTGATGCAGCCGATGACTAAGATCACACATCAACATCAGACACAGGAAAATCACAAAATAAAATTTATTCATTCAGTGCAGTTATAACTTAATACTCAAAAGATCTAAGCGAAAGCAACGTCAACTTAATCATTTCGAAAGTTCCAGTACTTTGGGCATGTGTGTGTGTGTGTGTGAGAGAGAGAGAGAGAGTACCATAGGCAGAGACAGACTCTTTCAATAACATAAAACTGCAATCGACAACTTGTTTCACGGATGCATGGATGCTAGACAAAAGGGTAGGTCCTGCACCTACTGAACTTCCATGTGCAAGTAATAGGAAACCCTGTAGTGTATTGAAGTATGTTGCCATGTTCTCTTCGAGTGCTTTAACTTCTGGTGTTTCTCCAGTCCAAAGCATTCCAACTGCATGGCAAATTCAAGACACAGTTACTTACTCGAAGAATCCTATCCCCTCGTGCAACATGCCAAGAGGCTCAATTAGACTGCTAATATCTACCAACATCCTGTCACTATCAAAGAAACTAAATATAGGAAGGCAAAGTACATGCTTCCAGCTTCCCTTCATGTTACAACACTGCTTTTCAAATTCAATAAAAATATGATCATTGTGTTAGATCTTCAAACATGCAATCATTGCAATAATATAACACTCGTAGAAAACCAAAATGGTTCTTCTCTCTGATTGATAAGAAAGAAATGAAAATGGTGTTTAGAGAGTACACCTAAATCACCATGAAGTGCATATACGACCAGGAACTCGGTGCTGCTAAAGATATATGTCTAGTGCTAAGGTTAGTAGTTAGTAAGTCATATCATTGATGGCATGTTCAGCAAACCTGTGCCAGCTCTAAAGACCCAAAATGCACCCTGTAAAATATGGCCATTGTGGCCAATTGTAGCCATCCTTGTAATTGATGCCTTGGATAAGGATTCTATAAGCTGCCCAATCTAAAATCCCAGCAAATTGTTTGATATTCCCAAGACTTGCGGACAAGGAGCATATTCAAAGGTCAGTAACAAAAGGCCATGGCCAGTAGTTATGGCTAAATTTCAGAGACGTGAAGTATGAACCCTTTAAGCCAATAGGTTTTTCTTCCGAAGAACATGGTTAGCTAAGCATAGGGTGAGGTAGAAGTGAAAAAGGCAAGCAATAGAACGGAAACAAAAGAGGCGGAGAGCTACTGCATAGCGACCAGTTGGCTAATAGACCACTAGGAGGAAAGCTGGCTGGTGATAAAGAATAGGAGCTAGGTCTTAAGAACAGATGAAAAACGGGGGACCCTAAAAGGCAGTTAAAGTCATCCAAAGATGTATGTGTGGATAAATTCATGAAGAAAGCAAAATAGGTCATGAACCATATACAAGCTAGCATGAACTGAGATAATATCTTCAATAAGATAAAACAGCCAACATGTGGAAGCTGTCACCTGGAAAATGTATAAAAAATTACCGTAGATATTGTAAGCATGTGCTTATATTTCTATGCATCTAGGTTTGTTTAGGTACATGTGTGTGTTCGTGGATTACATCTACAAGGGTTATTTTTTCTTGCCTGATTTACATTAAAGGTTTGTTTCAACTTCTTTTGGAGAAATCTTGTGCTTAAACACATCCAGCTCAAGCAATATTTTTTTTAGAAGGTTCCAACATGTTTCTGACTAGCTAACTTGGTAGACAAAATTATGGTACTATGCGAGTATTTTCTTTCAGGTCAAATAGATCTGAAAGGAACCAGAAAGATTCTCCAAGTTCTTGACAATTTATTTTACAGATTCCAGTTATCCATAAAACTTAACATTTGCATCTATTGGGCTATATTTGGCAGAATAAACACGTGTTAAGAGGAATATAAGCATAGAAATATAATTTTTCAAGTGAGAATCATCGTGGCACAAAAAAAATATCAGCATCTAATTTACAACACTCTAGATCAAGGTTTTTAGGAGTTGACTACGGTACTGAACTTTTTTTTTGGTACCATACTTCCATTTATCACAATTGTGGTCGTTTTTACCACATTTGTGGATATTTTTACCATTGTTGTGGTACCAAAAAAAAGAAAAAAATAGTCATCACAACAGTGGTAAAAACATCTACAAATTAAAAACAAAATTAAACAAGCATAATACATGTGCAAATAGGAATGTTATGACAAATATAAATCATGAAAGTATAAGAATCTACAATTTGAGCATTAAAAATGGTTGAAAATTAAATATGGGTTGTTATTCCTGTGAGATTTTAGGAAAAGAAATAGGATAATTGAAATATTTAAATCTTAACTTCAAAGAAAGGTGGATAAAGCGGAGAGATTGGAAATCTGAGAGATTGTTGAACAAACAACTTTGACTATTCAAAATCCAAATAGAAAAAAAATATAAGAGAAAAATGGAAGAGTATCTGATTATGATCATTTGCCGATAGAGGAGACTGTGATCATTTGCCGATAGAGGAGATCGAATCTAACACTTGCTTTCAATTGTTCAGTTGGAGAGATGAAAGAATTAAGAGAGCTTTCTTGAAAGAAGAAAACTTTCTTTATTTTTTCTTATCCGCCAAAATTCTCCAATAAACTAATAAGTGTATAGGTTAACCACATTTGGATTATGTCTTTTAGTATTAAAACAAGAAAGATGGCTTGGGTCAGCTCAATAACTAGATGCACCTAACAAAAAACATAACTTAAGGTCGATAAAATTGCAAATCAAATAGAGATTTTCGATCCTATAAGAGCTTGATCATGATCCATTAAAATCCTATGAATTAGAGATTTTTCAAGAGATTGGGATCGATTTATCTATACTGGATTGCATGACGGATCGGGATTTTAATAAGCATGCTCTAAGTATTCCACGACCTGTAATGCAATATCTCAAGTAGTTTTTTACTACAGTTATGATGGAAAAAACACCAAAGACTATTTTTAAATGTGGTAAATTACACTGCCAAACAATATGGGAATCAAAAGATTAAAGGGAAAAAAGTCCACAAAATTGAGAGTTACGAATAGAATCAAAAGATTCAGATAAAGAAAGGGGGTGTTCGGAAATGGACTGATTTTTTTTTTTCCATCTTTTGTGTACACATGCATAACAATGAGTTTGGAGAGAGGTTATAGGAGAAAGGAAAATGGCAATATAGAGTAACATAATAGAATGGAAGATTATTTCCCACGAGATTAAAGTGGGGGAAGTGTGTCTGTCAGCCAGCAACTCCTAGACTCTAGTGCAAAGCTTCACCTTTGGTGGAAAAGCAAGTAAAGCTTATTTTCTTTATAAAGTTAAAATGAACTTAAGAAGCATCATCAAATAAATTTGAATAAGAAGACGACATGCTAAGAATGAACAAGAATGCAATCTAAGCAGCCCATAATCTCGTTCTACGACTGCCAATATTCCTGAAAGATTAAATACGATTTTAAAAAGCTTCAAATCCCACAATTAATGCCTGTGTAAGTGAAACTAAATGAAAAATTATCCCTTTCTTTGTCATTCTTTTCTCACAAGCCAGATCAAATAACTCTTTAAGTTTTCTTCTAATGTGCATTCCTTTTATTTCTTCAAAGAAGGGGCATAATCATACTCATACTGAACTAAGCCTCAGATGCTAACTCCCTACGTAGTATTAAACATCCAATTCACCCTATTACATTAGATTTTTGGTACACTCTAAAACGGCACAAAGATTATTAAGAGCATCAACAAAAGCATCGACTTTCAAGAAATAATTCAGCGACAAATTGATTGCTTGGTAAAGCAAAATTTAGCAATAACGGCAAATTCATGTTCTTCAAGATCAAAATTACACACAAGACGGTATCAACTGTCAAGTAGGCAACCTTAAATTGGAGAAAGAATCTCACAAAGACAGTTGAAAAGTAGAAAACCCCATCAAAGAAAACCAATAAGAGAGCACATAATAGCAAAAATTGGAACTTTATATACAATCAACTGCAAAACAGAGAGAGAGAGAGAGAGAGAGAGTACCTAGAGTAGCTTGTTTGGAAACTTGTTCGCCAATTTTAATAACCTCATTCCAGCTGACTTTATCAAGAGATGAAGCTGGTGTTTGATCCAACAACTACACGCACATACCAACAATTTCACATCAATCAGTCCCTAATAAAAGAATTTTGCATACATACATATATATGGTAATCTGAACTGTGCAAAGGGTTGAACCTGAAAGGTCTCATGGGTAGTGTTCAGGTGCTCATTAAGGGTTCGACTCAGCTGCTCTCTGGCTGCTTTCCCCATCTCTCTCTCTCCCTCTCTCTCAATTCGTCCAGAGACGGCCTCGTCACTTATTAGTGTCGAGGTTTTGTTATGCGATGCCGATGATCACCGGTCCCACTAGGACATTGTTTTGGAGCCTTGGATTGGTGGCGCCTGGGCTGTGGGTCGAGTTTATAGTGACCCGATTCAGAATTATAATTAGGAGTGTGAAACATATCAGGTTAAACGGTTACATATCAAATTAAATAGGTGACGTGCTTAGGCTGTGGATCGAATTTATAGTGACCCGATTCAGAATCCTAATTAAAGGTGTCAAATGTATCAAGTTAAACGGTTATATGTCAGATTAAACGGGTGATGAATGAAAAATATGTAAATTCGTATACGATACGTTTAATAAACGAGTAAAAAATAATGAATACGACATGTTTAATAAATGGATAACACGATTCGTTTAATAAATAGGTAACATGACACGACTCGTTTTAACCCATTTAGTTTTTAAAAAAAATTATATAAATTATATCAACAAATTTTAATACATCACTTTTTTTACTGTCAATTGTATTTACTTCAAAAAAGAGGAATTTCTAACCAAATTTTACATAAAAATCAAACTTGAAAGCTAAAAAAGAAGGCAAGAGACCACTGCCTTTTATAGGCAAGACAACCCTCTCCATCTCCACTCATTTACCAGTGTGGGACAAAAATAAAAGAGATTGGTTTGTTTTTGTCATTAACTGTTCCTCATCTCCCTTCCTTTGTCTTTTAACTACTATTTTACTTTTTTTTTATTAATTTTTTTTATTTTTTTTGGCTAATTTTTTTAAATAATTATTAATTAATTATTATATTAATTTTATTTAATGGGTAAACGTGTAATAAACGGTTTGACAAGTTTCACCCGAACACGAACTATTTATTAAACGTGTTTGATGAGTCAACTCGTTTACTACCCAAACCCGTTAAGATTGATGAAGCACAAATTAGTATTGTGCAAGGTCAACAATTGAGGATTTATAAAGGTGTAGTCAATGAGTAATAAACAAGCAATTAATGATAAATCCATAAATAAAGAATTAACACAGAGATTTATAGTAGTTCGGTCCGGATGACCTACTCTACTTTCGGGAACGGCAGTTGTGGTCGGAGATCTTTATTGATGAATCATGTCACCGGGAGAGTAACTCCGGGAGTATTACATTATTTAGGCTTAATGAGGTGGTGAGGCAGTGACGTGAGGGAGAAGTCTTCTACAATTTTGGTAAGTACAATCTTAGTAGGATTAGATCTACGTATCCTGATATTCTCTCGCTCGTGTCCCTATTTTGTCGGAGAATGATTCTAAGATGGACTGGGCTTGATGTTGTCCTTGAACTTGAATAGGAGTAGGCTTGACCTTGCATTGGAGTCAAGAGGATGTAGGAGGATCAGGGGGCAGCCTTGGGCGGCGCCAGTGACAACCCGTATATAAAATAATCACTAAAACAATAATTAGGTCATCACTTATGATTCCATATAATTAAGGGTGATTTTTAAAAATTTCAAATATGAATTTCTTATGTGCAAACAAGTCAAACGACTATAACTTAAGTCAAATATTGTAATCATATAATATATATGTGTGTGTGTGAAAGATCCTATTCTAGATTTTTACAATATTTGAAAACGTGCAAAAAGAAAAAAAAATAATAACATGGATAAGTGTTCATAAGATGCTTGGAGACCAAGCAAGAATTGACTATAAATTGCCAAGTCCAAGCTATTTGAACGACACATCACAGAAGGAAAAAGAGAGAGAGAGAAGGGAAGAGAAGAAGGAGAAGGAGAGTGAGAGAAAGAGAGAGACAGATGGAATAAAAGAAAAAAATTTATGAGATTTTGGGGTCAAAAAATTGAACAGTGATTTTATTTTAGATTGCTATCAAATTTGACTATTTGATTCGGGGTATTTCGAATATTGCATCTATTGAAGTCATTGATGGATTTAAGGTACGAGGTAGTATACAATATGCTTCTGTCTTTTATATCTCTTTGCAAAGAGTATCATTTTATTATCTGAAATTTTGTATTTATATTGATTATTCTAATTTATATGAAATTCTATCAATATTATCGGTTGACTTGTACGTATACGTTGGGTTATATACTTTGGGATTGATTGGTACATGTACGAAGTATACTTGGGGCATAATTGATGAAATGTGATTATAGCCCTGCGGGGTGCTATTGTGATTACAGCTCTGAGGGGTGTAATGGTTCGATATAAATATGAATTTTAAATACTCATGTGTCACTTGTCATGTCACCAAGAGAACCCGAGTATGAGGCTAAGTTTGATAGATATTGAGCTATGTGATTTATCGAATTGAATTCTTGATTCTTTTATCTATGATTGTCTATCGATTGAATTATTTAGTATTTGATCATTTATATTCTTTTCTCGTTGAGTATATTGTTTTCTGTCATATTGTATACTTCCCCGCCTTTAATATTTTTTAGGATTATCTCTGAGGGAAGAACTAGAGTTAATATTTGAAGAATCGAAGACAGACGAATCTTGATATAATTTTTAACTTTTGTGGGTTTATTGGGGTGATGTATAATTTGAACAACTTCGTATTTATATTGAGGAGATTATTTTATTGGTATTTGGGGATCAAAAATTGTGATTATAAAATTTAGTAAGGCAATTAGAGCTTTGACCCTATACTCAGAGATTTATTTATAGTTTATTATCGATCGATTGATTTAATCAAGTAATGGGTCCGAAAAATCAGGGTGTTACAGCACCTGACTTGGGTGAACCCCTTGGTGGCACCCCAAGTGCTTGGGCGTTGGCTTTTGGTGCTCTGGGCGTTGGCCTCTTGAGCATTGGCCTCTTGCGCGCTCGCCTTTTAAACGTTCGCCTCTTGGACGTTGGTCTCTTGTGCGTTGACCTCTTGAGCGATCGTCTCTTGGACGTTAGCTTTTTGGACGTCCGCCTCTTTGACGTTCGCTTCTTGGACATCTGCCTCTTGGGCGTTGACCTCTTAGACGTTGGCCTCTTGGGCGCTGACCTCTTAATGTCCTTTTGAATTTCCTCCTGATAGGTCGACCCAGATTCAATTGGGCTCTTCTTTGGGCTTTATTGGTTTATTTAAATTGGGCTTAGTCCAGTCAAATTTGAGCTCATTAAAGATCTCATTCAAACTCGACTAATTCGTGTCGATTCGTGTTAGTTAATTGTGACGTGTCGGATTTTAACAGACCTAATCCTAATTGAAAATTTTGATCTGAATTCAATTCGCTTATTTATGAACTAGTCATAACTCATGTCTGAAGGCACGATAAAACATAAAATTCGAGCATTTAAAAAATCGATCCCACTATAGTAAATAAGAATTTTCATTTCCTTAATTTATTTGATTACATCTTTTAAAATATATTTTTACCCATTATTTTTTAAAAAATATCGACAAAAATACGTAATCCGACAAATTTTTTCAACATATGTATACTATCGTATATGGATAATGTTTGAATAAAAATTAAGTTAAACTACAAATTAATCAAATATTAAATAATTAAACATGTGATATAAATAAGTGATAGAATGATTTTGGGAGAGAAAATATGTGTGTGATAAAATTTCAAACGTTTAACTGTTTTATTATATATATATATATATAAGAGATATGAGAGAGAGAGAGTTACATGAGAGATGAAAGTCTTAGAATTTTAAAAAGAATGAAAGTCCAATTAAGATTGTCGGATCAATAATCATCAAGTAATTTGAGCTGCAAAAAATTAAAGATAAGGAAATCTAGTTATTTTAGTATATAGATTTTATTTTCACTGTTCACATCTAATTTTGTAAAAATATGGATATTCGATCCATATATTTTATGCAATTACACCTAAATTTTAACTCAATTTCATCAAAATATTCACTGAGTTTCAAAATCTATTTATATATTTTTATAAATTTAAATCAAATCGGATATTTGTAAATCTAACCCATCTT